TAAGAAATCCCAATGAGCATTCACATCAAGTTGAGGGCTGACTTCCCAGTCCACATCCTGTAGATTGTCCTGTAAAACTGACACATTCTACTGTCTGATTTCCAGCGTTTGTTGTTGGTAGGGTGTCTTAGCTCACTTTTGCTGGTAAAACTGAAGGCTATAACAACTCAATCGCTTTTCCCCAGGGGGGAGCAGAGTTGAGAGGTTGTCGATTAGGAATTCTACGTTTGTAAATACCCATTCTAAGCTCAACAGCGTCTGACTTTTTCTACAACGAGTTGCCGACTTCACATTTTTGAATAATCCCAGATTCTCAATGAGGTTGAAGAACCGAGCTTCAAAAGAGTTTTCACCTCCAATGTACTTATGTAACATGAAATTGACTCCAGGAAGATAGGAGTCCCCCAGAATCAGGATATGAGTGAATCCGAGACGAATAGAGCAAATTAATTCTTCCAGCATACGATTGTCGTACTCGATGCCAGTAGTGGGCTCCCTGTAGATGACCCCAACCAGGCACTTCGAGACGCTAGACAATCTTACTAAGCATCAAACGGATTCATGAAGATTGATAAACTTTTGACCGTGAACTTGGTGCACCTCCATGCATGATCGTATGCATAATGCTACTCCACCCACAATTCCTGATTTCCTGTCATTGCGAAAAAAGACATCCCAGGTATTGTAAGCTCATGGTACGTAAACTGAGATATTCAAGTTTCAAATTTTCCTATTAGATGAGCATTATTAGCATTGCTAAGTTCACATTTTATTTAGTAAACTCGCGGCGTTCATGTATAGGCAGTTTATGCCTTCAATTTGAAACGCATGAGCTTCTTCCTGTTTAACTGTATGAGCCTTATGTAAATGGACAGGTAGTCTACCTATACAAGATTTTCCAAGTTGGTAGTCCCTTTCTATAGGCCAATAATTTTACTGAGCAAAACTACAGCATCCGTGTTGCACATGACACATACCCACCTATGATCAGACTTGCTGGGTCTGTTGTAAGCTGTTGCTGTGGGTTCTGCGCACTTTTCATGAAACCAACCTTTGAAGATGTCGCACTGCACGCCAGATGTAACAGTAAAACGGCATCCAGGTAGTTTGATTATATTGGTGTAAACTGTTTTAGAGATGCTAGCAAAAGCCTAATATCTTAAAAAAAACATTACATTAAAAACGGGCAAAAATGGATAAAAACGAGTTAAGATAAACTGAAACTAGCCTTCACGTGAAAAAACTGAAAAACTCATTAGTAAGCTGGGGCAAAACCACAGTTAATTATTAAGTTGAGGGAGACTAAGCAAGGTATTCTGCCAAACGTATAGCTCATAATAAAATCTTTAAATCAGAAATGGTACTTTCGTTGTGTAAGAACACAACGAAAGTTTGAGTAATGCAAATGACGTTGGGACTAAACTTCCCTTTCGAAAAGCGCGCGGTAGAGAGATACCATATGAATATGCGTCATGTCTGAAAGGAGTACTGGATAAAACAAAAAATTCTCAGATATCGGTTACTTTCTGAAAAAACATCCCTATAGGGTTTTCAAATGGTTAATATAAACTTTTTATGTTGGAATTTTTTTAACCATTCACATTTTACGTAAATCCATACAATTCAAACAATCATGGTTACTGAATGCGAGAAGTGCGAAACATCATATTGCTGTCTTGGTAGGGGTGTCAACATAGACAATGGTGTGATTTCCACCTAAGAACTTATAGACTCGGGAGTCTGCAATTTCGGGATTGGGTATATTATTCCATTAGTATGGATAAGTGCATTTATACCGACCAAGGACATAATTCTAGAAGGTGTTTTTTACTGCCACCGTTGCACTTCGTGTGAATACATCGAAGTAGGTAAAAATCTTATGCAAACCACACGAAATTGGAAGTGCTCCAAAAATTTCGATGTGTATATGCTCGAATTTAGTATCGGGGTGACTGAAAGCACACACGGCAGAGCTAGTATGACGACGGATCTTGAACTGGCATTACATGCACGCCAGTGTCGAATTAAGAACATCACGGTTCATGCTTGGCCAAGCGAAACGCCCTCTTGTCAACATGATCGTGACCTTTATTCCTGGTTGCGATATGTTATGCTTAGTTAGGAAGACCTTTCACCATAATGCTCTCCAGATAAACAGTTGCCGTCAGCCCATAGACATCTCATACATTACTTCGACACAGCCTATGTGAACTTCTACGAATACTAAAGAATTTGTGTTATCGGGTCATAGTCTCCTTAATTCAAAATCTACCTATTGCATACTAGCCAGATTATGGAAATTGACTTCAAATGACATGAGCAATATTTATCGTCACTCTATACCAAGGATCTGCTACTTCATTATCATTACCTTGAATACATCGTATGTTGCACATAAACTGGAAAATTAATTTTAACCGTCGAATTTTCCTCGGCGTATTACAATCTTGTTGAGCGTTTAATGCATCCTCAAAAGATTCATGACATATAGACATATTTAAAACTATTCGGTGCTTTTCCTTCCGTGATTCCGGCGCCGATAGTTACGGACAGCGGCAATTTCTGTCGAACCTGGTGTAAATGAACCGCTGAAACGCTTGTGCTGCATTGGTCTATCCGAAGTGTCCGAGCAAAACTTCATATAGACTGAATGGGGTCGCTACCACTGTTTTAGGCGTGTCTTTTGGCGCGACGGGAAAGCTGTGATAAGCCTCAACAGGGTCACTCTTCGATATCACTACTAGTATCATGAATTTGTAGTGTCTGATATTTATCAGCCATAATTTGCTTGCTACGAGCTCAATGATCACTTTTCCGAGACCATGTCCAACGGTGGCACCCAATGGCTGCAAGAAGACTTCGCAGTCTCTAGCTTCACTAACTCTCGGAGTTCCTATTTGTTACTCCCAATCTTTTCAAGTTCAAACATTTTGAATTTTTATCAGCTGGTAGTCTTTACATTTGCTTGTGATGTTGAACAGTGTTTGAGATCTGGGTAACTGTAGGGTATCGTCGTCTGCTCAGCGAACCGTTAACAGTGATTTATATGGGGCACACTGCTCTTTAGCTACCACCAGATTCGTAAAGCTAATGACCACACATTTTAAACGTGTTGGTGCGACTGCTATTTATGAGTTGCATTCGTTAGCAATCAACTAATAAATCGAAGTTCTTCAGAACAATAATACTTATGAAAGGCATGGGCACATCTATTATGACAGATCAAAAGAGAAATGACTTGCCTCGACCAAAAATTGGCATTAACTTCCTCGGAAGCCCTTACTAGGGTAAGTTATATCTACATTATCAGTAAACATTTACAGATAGACACCCAGTTAGTGCTGACGAATCGGCGTAACTCATATATGAGTATTCTTCATATTTACATTAACAACAAAGTTTCTTGTTGTAATCCCCTGGAATTCACCACTAGAACCTCTACTGTTTTTTATTTATATAAACGACCTTACTCAGAATGTGCTTTTTGAAATGCCACTTTTTACTGAGGATGTTAGGCCTCAGAGGGAAATTGGAATCAGTAGAATAAACCAGCACTTCAGGAAAATTCAACTCGACATCAAAATTATTCGATGAATAATGAACCTACTTCAACTCTCAAAATTACAAACTAATCTATTTCGGACATGGTGCAAACTACATAAACAATTTAATTAATTTTTCTCTACAAATGTCACTAGTTGCAAAATATCTAGAAATTCTGGTTATCTATCATGCAGAACGATATCCTCACGGTGACAAAAATCCCTTAGAAGTAAACTTAGCACTGATAACTTGAAAGGCAACTTTTAATCAGTCTGGTTGAAGGGATGTGCACCTGGTTCTGAACAGTTTTATTCAAGCACATTTAGAGTTTGAAAAAACAAGTTATTTTCCACTTTACTCCTAAGTGGTGAACGTATTCGGGACAAGACAAAGTAAGCTACTATATTAGTTTGTGGAATTAAATTTACACCCTACGAAAAATTCCGAAAATCAAAAAATCTCTCTTCAGACTGTAGAAGACTCGATGCAACCTTTTATGATTTTAAGTGCCCTAAGCACCTTTGAACATCTCCCGAATGACTTTTTCAGTTCAAACTGAACTTAATACTTAGAGAGAATACTACGAAATTAGGGGTACAAGCAACTAAACTAAAATGTTTAAAAGAAAAATTATTTATACTTAAAGGATTTGAACATATGATGTTGCTTTACCAATACCTATTTCGTTTATGTTTTTTATGCACCCAGGTACTTGGCCTGATAAATCTGTTACAGCTGAAAACAGGAGTGTGTTAGGCGAATGTGTTTTTTGTTCAGTTTATAGCTGTTAAAACTACTATATAGTCATAACATGAATGAATTTCACTAAATATTTCCAAAATTATTCATGAATTTCGATTACTTATTTAACTCATGAGGTCTTATGTGCTGCGTTACAAACAGGAAACTAAAGCACTGCTGGTACTAACAGGAGTTTTGCTCAGCATGCTCAAAATCGCTCTTGTCATAAATCACTTATCCTTAGGTGCTTTATCATTAGAAACTGAAGATCTCTGTATCTTTTTAGCCGCATATATCATAATATACTTGCTGCTACAAGATAAATGTGACAGCCTAACATGAAAATGCAGATAAATATATGAATTCAGTCAAGGTCATTTTTGTTTTTATGTATCGGAGACTAAAGCTATATTCCCAGCACATCTTTGTTCTCTCCGTTTTCCGCTCACTGGTGGTTCTACTTTGTAAAGTGAGGTTTTTCACTGTTAGGTTATTTCGATGTCAATCCTGTGCTATATCTTTATTTTTATTGTTTTCATCAATAAATGTTATCCCATATTATGTACTTACTGGCTTACTTAAGCAATTGCTCACATTTTTTTATACTTTTATCTTATAGATTCTCTCACCCCCTGTTTTGCACGCTCCTCCTGCACATTAATTGTCTTCGCACTAACCTGAAATCCACCGAAGATTGAAATCCGTACAGTTTTTAAATGCGACTCCCTTTAGATTCATATGGAGTAGACTTGCATGTTCATCTGGATGGTGCTATTAGGCCAGAAACATTATTTGAACTATCGAATGACCAAAAATCCAAAGTTTCATTTCAAAATTTAGAAGAACTTAAGGGAAAATTAATGCCTAAGAAACCTCACAGCCTGAAAGATTTCCTGAAAGCTTTCGAAGTTATTATACCATTAGTTGCCGGTAAAAAAGTAAGTAAAAATGGATTACTTATGGTTAAAAAATTGCATACTACTAGTTCTGATGATTTTTTAGTCTGAGATGAAGTAAGTTATTTAATATATCAGTTTCCAGAATGTATTGAGAACCTCTTCTTTCCTGCGAATCCATATTTTCTCAAATCATATCTTCCATTCCTAATCATTTGTACTCCCACTAATACTTTTATTATGCAACATACTCTGGTTTCTCTTCTCGGTGGTTTGGTGTAGCAGCTCTGACCAATCCATATATCATAAGCTCTATGTCGAATAGCTGATTAGTATCAGATAAAAGTATAACCGTTTTGTAACCCAAACAAGACAGAAGTAAATAGATTGGATATTAAAGCTAGTCACCTTGGTATTTGGTGTTAGAACAAAGAACCACATATATCACAGTATTCTTTAAAATGTTACAACACCATATTGTCGGCTTCTTGACTGACTGATACTACTACAATTTGTTATTTTCCCACGTTACTTTATGATTCTTAGTATTGCAGACACTACTAAGCCACCGTCCGTTTGACAGTACAAAATCAGGAGTCAGACAGAGTTTAGAAAATGTTGTATTTTACACAGTAAAGAATGGTAGGCCCATCTAACCAGCACAATGTTTCGTTGAAGCAAGAATCAAGCGCGTATTTATTCATTCAACAAGACCAAAAAACAAAGTATGTATCATTCAAGTGTCTCAGACCTTAACAAGACGAAGCTAACTTTGACATGAACAAATCAGAAACAGTCTATGTAAACTTTTGATAATGATAAAAAGTATCGTGGTGAATTATAAAATGTCCTTTGAGTGCACTACAACCTCAATAATGAGCATTTTTGAGTCACGCAAGATTTCATTAATTCTGAGTAGAATGAAACATGAAATGTTCTGTGGTACTATCTTTAAAGGCACAATGAAACACACCATTAAATCCGATTATGAACTGATATTATTGAGAACGTGAAAACCGGATAGGAATACTCTTGTTTCATTCAGAATCTGTGTTTCAGACTAGCTATAAAACTTGGGTCGAATAAAGGACCATTTCTTAGCTGCTCAGCTTTACTTACAATGTAAGACAAAACAATCCTACAACTCATTTTTAAGGGCTAAGACAACTCACAACATAGCTTCAAGTCGCATATAGCCTCCTGCCACAAAAACCACTTTAATTTAGTAAATGTTTGATACTTGGAGTTCATCTGTGATATTTATACTTCACTACATTACACAATTTCAGCTGCGTAATATAGATGCCAACTGCTTCTTTTCAACTCAATCTGTAAATGCTTACTCATAAGAAAATGTATCACATTTTTCCACATGAAAAACCACATCCTCATTGTCTGCTTAATGGCTTTTTTTATCATAAATCCTATTAGTAATATTTTTTACGGCTAAATGGATAACCAGATTACTTTGGAAGACGTGGCCGTTTGCTCAATGTAAAATACGGTATTAGTAAAAACATGGTATTTATTTTTGTGTGATTCAAACGTTTTGAGTTCCATTAGCTAATTAGGTTAAATGATATATGTAGTAAACGTCAACTTTAGCGATACTTAAGAGCAGAATCAATAGCAATCTATTAACAGACAATATTGAATGTGAAAAATGGCATACCACAAACGCGGTTGTTAATTAAGTTCAGACTTTTTGTGACCAGTAGCATGAATAAAACTCCTTACTTGTTCAACACTATTTTAGCTCCTAATTTTTATATTTATAATTTTATATTTCTAAAACTTACGCCAATATAAAAAAATTGTTTACACTTATAACCATCGTTTTCTGAGAGCCCAAGTTTTTTATATTTAATCTATGAACAAGGTCAAACCATCTGTCGCTTGTAATGCTCAGTATCAGTTAATACAAAATAGTGTTTATGTAACTTGAAATCCTTACTTGGTTGATAGAGAGGTCATTCATTCGCGGATATGCGTGTTAATTTTGGAAGCCTCAATAATAAAATAGTGTCAGCGAAATATTTTTATGTTGTATAGTAATCTCAATTAAAAACATTGAACCGTGATTTAATTTTTATACGGTTGTAAATTTGCAGAAAAATGAGACTAAGAACGTAAATTTGTTCATTGAAAATGAAATTTCTGAAATTCAAGAGATAAATACAAGGGTGAAACTTATCATTCACGTGATATTAAATGTATTTTGTGAGAATTTTTACCACTTTTGCGATTTTATGAAGATATTCGACCAACCGTTTTCTCCCTATTCGTTGGTTCGTAAAATATGCAACTGGTCTACGGTTATAGGCAAAGATGGACAGTGGCTAGCAGTGGAATCCAGAACGCGTGTTTCGTCCTGTTTGGGAGTCGTTAGCTGGATGCTTCTGCACCTCCAAGTTGATATTCACTCTAGGGCTCGAACCCAGTACCTTTCGCTTCAAACGCCATCACGTTATCCACTCTGCTACTGAGTCCTGATAGCCACTTGCTTATGCAATGGGGTGAAGTTTGAATTCACTTAGTATTGTTTGTTTGAATCTTCCCATTGATGTGCGTATTGCACATATGTCAATAAGAGACTGATCGGTTTTAGTCCTGAAAATCAATGGGAAGATTCAAACAAACAATACCGAGTGAATGGTCTGCGATCAGTTTACCACTCTGTATTAACCAATCTCATATTTCTGTCGTCCTTTTAATGTTGATCGAATTCGACTTACCAGTCTGTTGTGATAAAGCTGTTAGTCTAAGTCACTTAACATCGATGCATGCACTATATCGAGATGTTTGGTGATTGGAGGTAGTCGGCAAAAACCATAAACCTAGATTTCTACTATTCAGCACTAGTTAGCAAGGCTTACCTACGGTCTTGAGCAAACTGGTACTTCCTAAGTGATTTAAAACAATGTCATCTAGCTTCACAGTCCAAGACTCTACTACTGAATAGATCAAACAGCTCAATTGTAATATCTCACACTGTAAATCCGGGTAGTGCAGATTTCGATTCCATAAAGGTAATCAGTCCCCTCAAGACTACTAGTATGCTTAAATGAAGAGTGTGAACTAGTACAATGTCTGGATTCAGTTCCTTGCCGGCCATCTAGAACCACTTAATCTCTAAACAACTAGTTTTGAATACTTCAGACTTGATAGTTTTCACTTGAACTATCAGTCAAACTAATGTTGGTAACAACAAACTCGTATTTTAATGGGTTGAAAACTAATATTTTTATACGGTGGTGTTTCAATATTCTTATAACTGACTTATTTAAGAATGTAAACGTTAATCAATGTAGATTTTATTGATGGAATCTTGATTATAACATTCTTCCGGAAGTTGTATTTATAACACTGATTTTTCAATGGTACTAGAGAAATTCTTTTACAGATTAATATTCGAAGTGATTTTTTGTAAATTACATTGACATTGGTTATTAATCCTATTGAGATCAGTTTGAAAAGAAATGAAGAATGACCGAAATAAAAAAAAACTTGATTCGCTAGACTAAATACTTGAACGTTTATAGCCATTTATTCTATGAGTTTATATATATGTATATTGGCGGAGATCAGCACGTTCATATATCAAATAGGGCACATGCACGCACCCACACGTTATAACAATATATATATATAGGCCCTCTTTGTGATACCACTAAAAACCAGCATTTAATTGATACTTACGGTTGATTGATTACTTAGTATTAACCGACCTCATGTTTGTCTGATACTTACATTTCTGATCCTATTCTATGAATTAACTTGTAATGCTGCCTCAAATATAAGTGACCTGAAATCGTGTACACTAATTTGAGATCCTAGACAGTTGGAGCCTGAATAACTCGGTGGGAACTTCTTAGACTATGAAACTAGGTTTAAGTCCTTTAGTGAACACTAGTTCCCTCACTATAACAAGTAAGCTACTGATGAGTGCCAAATGGCACAAAACCTAGATTCATGATTTCCCGTCGTTCACTCGACCTTTGTTCAGTTTTAAGATAACTTTGACAAGTTAAGATTTCTCACACTTTATAAACCTTTTGTATAATTATTTTCTTGTATTAGGAAGATATAAATCCATATAAGTAATTTTTTACCCACTGAATAAATTTTTATCTATATGAACTCAGTAACTAAGTGGATAACCTATTTGTCTTCAGAGCGATTGGTATTGAGTTTAGCCCTTAGTGCAAACATCGACCATATAATGCAAATACATCTTGTCGATGAGTAGCAAGCAGAACAAAAGATGTTTCTTGCATTCCATTGTGAGCTACAATTGAAATATACTTTGGACGCGTAACTAAAATGCTGCATCAAGACATGTATTCAGGACTGATCAGTCACAATCCTGAATATCGAAATGGAGACAGTACAAAATCTAATTTTATTTATTTGCTATGAATAAATGAGTCGAAAACATCAAAAATTCAAATTTTTACTCATTAAGATATCACAAATTTATCATTATTTAGTTATTAATTCGCATTGTTTAAATGTTTAATGATGGTAATTAGTCTGTTTTCTTGTTTATTTCTCGATCTACCCCTCTCTATCCACACCAAATCTGTTTAATCAGGAGGTTTTGGCACGTATTTGTGATGAGTTTGTTGAAGATTGTGTAAAACGCGGTGGTTTATGTTATGTGGAAACAAGATACTGTCCATTTCTGTTAACTGATTCTAAATGTGGCGCAGAAGAAGTGTTAAAAACAATTTTAGATGCACTTAACAGAGCTAGCGAAAAGCACAAAATAGAAGTTCGTTCTATTTTATCAATTATGAGACATATGCCTGAGACAGCTAAAGAAACATTAGAATTAGCCAAAAATTATCAACCACATGGAGTTGTTGCAATTGATATTGCAGGTTAGTGGGTTTGTTCTTACTTTGTTGTTATATGTATGGTATATTTTTATCTTTAAATGTTTAACTGTAAAAAGGACGACTGGCTGAGCAGTTCTGAGGTTAGCCTCAGAATACTAGGTATTGATAGTAAATTGATTTATAGAGGAGCAAATGTGAATTGACTGAGGTGTTTAGGATATGTCTCATGTTTGCCCGACCACGGTGCGAGATGTTTGCTGGTGTAGAAATTTGTTGGAAGAAGGATAGTGGCACCTAATTTAAGAGCTGACATCGAGTGGTAAAGTAAATGACTGTTAAACAAAGCTATGTTGGTAGGTGCAGAATGCCAGGTAGAGGTCCTTGAGATTATCGTTACGGATGATTGGAAATCGTGGGTGACATTACCCGTAATCAGTTACAACCGTGCTGATGAATTTGCTTTTTGTTTTCCCCTAGATCTAGAATTTTGAAATCATCTTAAACTTTTCATTTTGATAATTCGTTCTTTCTCCAATCACATTGTCTATGCTTAATCTTTCCTACGATCACTAATATTATTAATACTTCCACTACTCCGGCATTTGTCTTGATAATTTCATCTCACTAAATTAGTTTTGTATGGAAACTTGAACTGATCATATATATCTCAGTCTCTACTCTTCCTGTGATTAAATAACAATTCTTAATGGCGGATTCGATGCAAGCTTTTAGAAATTCGTCATCTATCAAATGTTATTCTAGAACTTCCAAACAGTATTCATTTATAATTCAAATCATGATCAATTGAAGTTTTAAAATATTTATGAAGTCTTTTTAATTGATAGATATTATTATTAAAAAAATTCCAATTCAACTACCAATTCAGTCAGTCAGTCAGCTACAACGTAGGACCAGGCACATATATGCATCGGTCCAAGTTGCCATACCTCTTTAGCACAACAAGATGAACACCGGATTCATAGAAGCAATTAATTTAGTGGTGGTAGTATATAAAGAAAGATTGTATAGAAAGATATAGTACAGGAAGGAAGAGAGATATGAAGCAATTTTAATCTCAAGGTTTAAGGGAAGATAAAGAGTGTATACACCTACGCCATTGTGATCGATTCTGAGCCATGTCACCTAGAGTCTCCAACCATTTATTACGATAGTCACGCGGACCCCAACCAGGTAGTCTGCATCTGCCAACATGACTCAGGCTAGAAGTTAGTGACTTCAAACACTGATGCCATGTTTTGGTTTGGCCGCCCCTAACTCTCTTCCAACCGTCCCCAATACTAGTCATCATAGCGTGTCGTGGTAATCGGTGTTCAGGCATACGTAACACATGGCCCAACCATCTCAGTCGATGGAGATTCATCACCTCATCAACTGATTTACCATCGTTCCCTAATACCCTGCGTCTAACCTCACTATTACTTACTCGGTGATCCCAGCAGATGCGAGCAATATTTCTAAGGCATCTGTGGTCAAATACTAGTAACCTACGAGTATCTTCTACTCTTAATGGCCATGTTTCGCAGCCGTAAAGTAGAACAGAGCGAACTGATGCGCAGTATACTCGTCCCTTAATTGATAGACGGATATCTCGTCTTCGCCATAGGTGACGTAAGTTGGCAAAAGCCAAACGAGCTTTTTGAATCCGTGCTGAGATTTCGTCAGACACCAACCCATTAGGGCTGATCAGACTTCCAAGATAAGTGAAGTTGTCAACGCGTTCGACTACTTCACTCCCTATCCTTAGTTCGAGTGTTGACGCAGGCCAGTCCTGGAGTAACAATTTACATTTGGATGGGGAGAAACGCATCCCAAACATCCTGGCATTATTACTCAGTTCCAACAGAAGACTCTGCATTTTGTCAGCGTCTTCACCAAACAGGACTATGTCATCTGCGTATTCTAAGTCGCTTAGTGGTCCCCCTGGTAGGAGATCAATTCCTGTAAACTCAGTCGACGAGAGTGTCATTTGCAGCAACAGGTCTATAATGAAGTTAAACAAAAAGGGGGATAGTGGACAGCCTTGACGGACACCACTTGAGGTTGTAAACTCATATGACAGTTCGCCATAAGCTCTCACTCGACTGATAGTGTTCGAGTAAAGAGCCTTCACAAGGTTTATGTACTTCTCAGGTACACCTTTCAATGACAGACACTGCCACAGAACCTCTCGGTCTACAGAGTCAAATGCTGCTTTCAAGTCAAGAAAAACTATCATTGTCGGACGCCGATAAGCATGTCTGTGCTCTAAAACTTGACGAATGGTGAATATGTGGTCGATACAGCCACGACCAGGTCTGAAGCCAGCCTGATTTTCTCGTGTTTGCAGTTCACGAGTCTTAGTTAGGCGCCTGATAATTATTGAGGCTAGTATTTTAGATACTATGTTAGTCAGACTGATCCCTCTATGGTTATCGCAGGATGATTTTGACCCCTTTTTATATATTGGGACAATCAGTGATTGTGACCAGTCGGATGGGATTACATCCGTCTCCCAGATTTTAGCTAGAATATTAGTCAACCTAATCGCTAAAATTGGACCACCATATTTAAAGACCTCTGGAGCCAATCCATCAGGACCAGCTGCTCTTCCTCGTTTCAGATTACCTATAGCCTTTTGAACTTCAAGTAGGGTCGGGGGGCCTACTTCAATGTTCCATTCAGGTTTTCTAGGAATAGTGGGTAGTTGTGCAGTAGCTGAAGGCCAGCTAAACTGCTCCTTAAAGTGTTCCGCCCATCGTTCTAAACGTTTGGGTAGAGAGCAGATAAGGGTTCCATCTTTTTCCGAGATCGTCTCACTTACACTTGACTTCTTAATTCCAGTTTCTTTTATTAGTCTGAATAGTTGCCTGGTGTTGCCTACAGCCGCTGCCTTTTCCATCTCTTTTGCTTTCGTTGCCCACCACTGCTCACGATCGTTCCTTAGACTTTTAGTTAACCTAGATCTAATTTGTTTACGCTCTTCGTCATGTTCAGAGCCTGATGGGATGAGTTTACGCGAATCCATCAGTGAAATAGACCTAGAAGAAATCCACTGGTTTTTTGGAGCCCTATGGTTTAAATGACTAATAGATGTTACTGCTGTCTCCACAGCTGTTCGTATGCCTTTCCAAGCAGCATCTGGGTCAGTCTCGTTTACAGAACTGCCTAGATGTGAACTCAGTTGTCTCTGGAATTCACATTTGGCTTTCTCGTCCTCCAGTTCAATCCTAACGGGTCTTCTTAGTTTACTTTTCCTGCGTCCATTGAGGCGCAGACAAATGCGTGCTCGTACTAAAGCGTGATCAGAGTCTAAACAAGTATTCCAATACGAGCGACAATCTTCTATTGAGCCTCTCCAACGATGACTGATGACAATATGGTCTATTTGAGTCCATCGTTGGTTTGGTGCAGGTGGTCGCCATGTTAGACGATGTCTCTCCTTATGTTTAAAATTAGTGCTTGCCAAAAATAAACGATTGTCTGAGCATAGTTGCAACAGACGATCACCATTATCGGTTCGTTGAGCCGGAATACTAAAACACCCACCTAGATGTCTTTCTGTTTGATTTAAGCTGCCTACCTGGGCATTAAAGTCACCCGCTACGACTACTATGTCTGAGCGCTTAGCTTTCTGAAGAAGCTCAGAGAGCTTTCTGTAAAAGTCATCTTTCACCTCATCATGGCTGCAGTCAGTGGGAGCGTAGGCAGAAACGACGAAAAGACAACGACGTGTGTCCCTATCCTTCCGAGTTCTTACGGAGCCATTTAGCCGGACAGCACACAGGCGACTGTTAACGGGGATCCATTCTAATAGTGCCTGTTCTGCCCTTGTACTTAATGCTATACCTACACCTGCAAGTCCACGAGAACTAGCCAACGGGTCGCCAGATACACGGAGGGTGTATTTCGTTGGCTGTCCATTTTGGCGAGGTGAGGTCAAGTGAATGACCACACTAGGATCCTGTATGCGTGTTTCGGAGACACAGCATACATCAATGGTACGCGACTCTAAGGTTTTAGCTAAGGAGGCCTGTTGACCGATTTGACTTAAAGTACGTACGTTGAAGGCTCCAATGTGTAGTTTGGAGCGAGGTTTTAGTAGACCTGGGACAGCGTTTCGCGCACTAGAATCGTTGGCCATGGTGACACTTGAGGAGGAAACCGAGAGAGGAAGTTTAGTGTTGAAAGTCAAGGTAGAAGGAATAGTGGGAAGTGAAAAAGGAGATTGATTATGAATACAGTGGTCTTGAGTGTTGTTAGAGGTATGAGGGCAGTTATCACTTCCCGGTTGCCCACACCGTGGAAGGATTCTTCTAGAGGTACCTGAAAAGGAAATTGGGTTAGAAGTGGTCTTAATGACCGGAGAGCGTGACCGCAGTGCCCAAGGGACAACTGCTTGAGGTCGGTCACACACGACCTTTTTGTGGGTAGTTTTTGTGTTAGCTCCGTTCTTCAAAAAAACCTTACCGCCGGAGACGGATATCCGTGGGATAAGGCGAGGTGTGCATTTTTAGGGTCGACCTTTTCTAACCCCACCCCTCCTTGTGGGAAGGCAGCATCGCTGTCATGCTGGTTGTCTGAAGGAAACACCTTACTGCTTTCACACCTCTGTACAGTCAGCAGTACGACTTCGCCTTCGGACCTTGGGTTTGCTGCTTTTAGTCTCACCGCTCTTCAATCGACCTGTCTGGCATGGTAGGACCTCGAGGAACGATTGTTCCAGCCAGCATAGCTCGATTGGATCATCACGATAGGCAAGCCCGACCACCACGTCAAGGTAGCAGCAACGGTCGGGACTACCAATTCAACTACCTAATAAATCATGTTAACCGATGGATTTTCAAAAAGTATAAGTAATTAGTTTTTCTACCTCTCAAAAACATTCCATTTATCTTCCATAAATTATAATTAATCTTCTATTGATCAAAACGATGGTTTAAAACACTTGTGGTTCGTCCCATTTTCTAAAAATGGGTTAGCAATTATATATATATATATATATATATATATATATAAGCATTCCAGACATCTTACCAACTACATTTATAGCTTTAGTTTAGATGTTTAAATTAATTACAAAGCACTATTGTACAGCTCATATGAAATGAATATTCACAGAGAGTATATTTTATTCTGGTCTTTTTATTTATTAAATACAATCAATAATCTGCTCTTCCCACATAGTTTGGTCACGTGCAATGATATACTATCAACATCGATTTAATCTCAAGATATTATATAAAGAGTAGCTGTGTATGAGGAGTATCATCAAAGGATACATGACTAATCAATCTTCGGGTTATCGTCAAATTAATTATGCGATCCTAAATGCTCACAAAGATCATTCAATGCATTACGTTTTAAACTATTATTGAACTAAATAAACCTAATGACTTGCTCTCTGCTTGATTTCCAATAAACTAAAGCAATCTGTAGAAAATAACGAGATCGACACACGTACTTTCTGACGATTATTGGTGGGACACAACGAAAACCTATAGTATACATTGAATGAATCATTTATGTTTTAAATTACTCAACATATAATGAAGTACCATCGGTTCATCTTGCATCTGCAGAGTGGGTTGACTGATGATGAGTTCAAAGAAGTCGTAAACCATTATTGTATGTTCTTGGTGATACATCTTAATGAAAAAATAATGGATTTTTGTCCATTTTCCTAAGTAACTATTTCAGATTGCTGTAAATATTCCCAGATTAATAGAATCAATAATCATTTACGACCTTTGTTACTCAGTAGTAATAGTGGTAATGATATGAATAAACTGTTCCTTCGATTGATTTAGCTAAATAAGTTAACAACTTAAAAATGGTACTCAACTAACCATTGTCACCAAGCTGCCTAGAACTTAAAAACTGTCAGAACTTCATAAATTAGTTAAATTGGGTGTTGATTCATAAGGAACCTAGCAGTCAAAAGCATAATAACTCATATTCATATTCAAGTTCCAATTAATTGAGTTACAACAGAATATTTGAAATTTAATTGCCGTCAAATTCAAAGTGTTATATCCCCCGGTGAATTACGAATGGTAACTTTTAGGTCTATTTATGGATCAATGTAATATGCCTATTTCCTATTGTACAATTATTACGTAACTGAACTATTGATATTCGTATTTCTCTTATCATTAGCTTTATTTTGACCTTTGACTTATTATCATACGATTGTTGAGTTATAATCAGTTTATTGATTACTTTGGTTTGTATAAAAACTCAGTATGTTTGTAAATAATGATTCATATTGCCGAGGCTGTTATTTGTGTTCTGCACTCAACTGGCTGGGCTAGGCATATAGCAGGACCGAGTAGTAATCAAGACTGCTCGTACAATTTTATGTATCATTGGACGTTTATATATTAAGAGGGCATACGTTATAACAAAAAGTATAACCACAATTGTATAGGTGAACAGAGTCCAGTTTCATACGTCAAAACAATCTGTTTGTTAGAATTACATGCATAGCACACAAGCCGAATATGTATTTCATTTGTTTGTTGAAATGAATAACTCAGACAAAACTTCAATATTTAAAATAATTAAATTGATGTTTGATTATAATTCCTTGATAAAGCTTGGGCCAGATTGTCAGGCGAAACGTTGGATTTAATTTAAAAAATACATTGGCTGAGATTTTACAAATATATTATTAATTATCAGAAGGGGTTTTGTGGAGATTTAGTATTTTTCATAGTAGAAAGCATGAGTCAATTGAAGCTAGACCACCATGGAAAACCTGGAAACACTGGACGGCCGTTTCGTCCTACTATGGGACTCCTCAGCAGTGCGCATCCACGAACCCGCTCTCGCGAGCGAGACTCGAACCCAGGACCTACCAGTCTCAAGCCGAAGCCCTTAACCGATAGACCACTGAGCTGGCATCCAACGGTGTTAATATCTAACTTCAACTGATCCACGAAGTTGAGCAACCATTCACCAATTGTCTTCAGTGAGTTCCTATCTCACAACAGACGTGGTTTTGAACTCCACTGGTCACTGCTTCGAGTCTCGCTCGCGAGAGCGGGTTCGTGGATGCGCACTGCTGAGGAGTCTCATAATAGGACGAAACGGCCGTCCAGGTTTTCCATGGTGGTCTAGCTTCAATTGACTCATGCTTTCTACTATGAAAAATATATTATTCCTATTTAAAATGAACTAAGTTAAAACTTTTATAAATAAAATTCTCATAGAATATTCAAAAATAAGGAATATTTGATCAAACGATCGTTTTTAATAACTTCATCTATAGTCATTGTGATATTTTAGAAAGGCCAAAATAGGGTATTCATTAATGGATTTGACAAGGTTGTATGTTAAAAATGGTGAACTTTGGCATCTGTCACGACATAAATACTTCAAAATAGTGTCATTTGTAAGTTAGAAATATCATTTAATAAAAGTCAGGATGCTATAACACTACGTCCCAGTGTTGATGTTCACACTGAGACAAACCAACTACCTGTCGCTTTAGACTCCAACACTAAGCTCACCTAGCTACTAGGTAGATAATAAATATGATGAGTTATTTAAATACCTTTGAATTAGTGCCCACTAAAGCTATTACTCTTGTCTAATAAACTCGTAAAGATTTACATGTAACTCTTTAAACTGTGGCTTATTAGTCTAAACATAATTTTACTTTGTCAAACATATCACAGAGTTTCAAGCGTTTAACATTTCTTTTTTCTTCAATGTAACTACTGTATATTATTTGTGATCTGCTTAATTTTCTTTAGGTGAAAATATATTGAGAGTATAGTTTGACGCTGACAAATTCTTAGAAAAAACAAGTACCATCTTCTCAGGCCTAAAGAAGCATTTCATTTATTATTTATTTAGTTAGAAAGTCAAAACCTCGAATACAAAGTTAGGCTTCAGTATCTTGACAAAATTTCCTTATTCGAAATATTTTATAGTTTTGCCAGATTGTATACAATTGTGTTTAGGTATAAAGTAGAATAGTCAACAGTCATCGGTGTTCAACATTTACGGCACTCATTGAATTAACTTATATTGTAGTTACATTTTCTGAGATGTTAATCTTTTATTAGGTAGTCCTCTGATTAGTTGTCAATAATTCGATAACAGAAATAATTAGACGAGAATCTATTATACGTCTAGTAAACTATTTAGTCTATCATATGGATCCGACTCGTTTAAACTGAAATGTGTCTATGTAGCTTAAATATTGTTTCCCTCTTTTAAACATTTCTAAATCATTCACTTTTAAGACAAGAAGAGCACTGAAGATTTGAGTAGAATAATATAGATTCGTTAAGTTCTCTTTAATTAATTCTGTAAGCAAATTCGAATATTTTTAGTTTAAAATTATGCATGCCATTTGTAGCATACATACCTATAGATGAAGTTCGTTAGAAGTGATTATTTCTTTTATTGTGTTACAGTAAAGATTCCAATCAAGTTATTGAGGTTTGAAACAAATGTTACAAATAAGTACAATGTACAATAGTCTAGAATATCAGAATGTTCATAGAGCTGAACATATAGTACATTCGTGGTTGGATATCCGATGTTATGGAATAACATGGTGGTTGGAGGTGGTCAACAGGAAACCCTGGACCCGGGTTTCGTGCTACTTGGCACTCGTCAGCAAGGTGTACCTGTAATCTTGAGGGAACTGATGCTCCCTGGCGGATTCGATCCCGCGTCACTCAGCTTCACAGTCAGAGACGTTACCACTGAGCTACTCGGGCCGCGACCGACCTCCTGTAGGACTGAGATCTAATCACAATTGATTGATCACTGGGTGGTGATCAATCTCATGCGTGTCAGGGTTTCCTGTTGACCACCTCCAACCACCATGTTACCCTAATATATATAGTGCCCGCAGTGTCGAGCCACCTAGACTGGTGGCCACATTGCAACTTGATCGATAGCATTCGATCAGCACGTATGAGATTGATCACCACCCAGTGATCAATCAATTGTGATGTTATGGAATATTGTTTTGTATATTGTAATGATTTGTAACATTTGTTTCAAATTTTAATAACTTGATTGGAATCTTTACTATAACGCAATAAAAGAAATAATCACTTCTAAAGATCTTCATCTGTGGGTATATATGTTACAAACGGTATGCAAAATTTTAAACTAAAAATATTCGAATTTGCTTACAGAATTAATTAACGAGAACTTAACGAAATCACACGGATTCATATCATTCTACTTGATTCTCCATTGTTGCTCTCCTCAAAATGATTAAGATAGAATTTTGGATATATTAAATCACATTTATTATTATTATGACTATTACTATCAATTGTTTGTTGCATCATAGGTGATGATTCAGTTTTGAAACATCAACGTGTCCCTGAAGAAATTGTTCAAACATTTGAAAATGCTAAAAAAGCTAATATTCATCGTACTGTACATGTTGGCGAAAACAGTCCAGCAAGTAGTGTCTATGAGGCAGTGAATAATCTACATGCTGAACGTATTGGCCATGGATATCACATCTTAGATGATGAAAATGCATATAAGTCTCTACTGAAAGCCGGTGTACACTTTGAAGTAAGAATAAGCAACAACACAACACATTTTATGTCTTTTTTCCAAAGAGAAAACACTTTATTTTCGCTAAAGTCATGAACCAATCTAAGTTGGACAAGCACTGAAAACCTGGAAGCAATGGACAGCCATTTTATCCTAGTATTGGTCTCCTCAGTAGTGATTATTTACAACATCGCACACGGGAATCAAACCCGAGCATTCGAGCCCGAGCCCTAACATCATGGTCCGCGTCCCTTGCTTTCAGGTTTTCAGTGGTTGTTTAACTCAGATCGGTTCATGATTTCAATGGCATTCAACGATCTCCACTGCTTTTAACTGATATATTTATTTTCACGTCACTTATAGCACATCATATTGATGGATAGATTATACTGCTTAAAGAATGTTCACTGATTATTGTTTTGTGGTGCAGTTTAAGATTGAAAGATTTTGATTGGAATTTCATACCATGACATAGATCTGTTTATCTCAATGAGTTTCCTTTAAATATTTGGTTTTTAAGCGAGCTATTTTCCGATTCGTTGGCACAACAATTGTTGTTCGTGAAATGAATAAAACCAAAGTCGTCAAAGAAATATCAAGATAACAAGTATTGCTTGCATTTTTTTATAAAGTCATTTAGTTATTTGTGAAGATTAATTCAACTTTGATATCGCTTTTATCATAGATTAATTTTGGTTAGAATGTTATTGAAAAACGGAAGGAGGATCAGACAGTTCTTTTGTCCTAGTTCCAGACTGTTCAATAGTTTTAAGCGGACAATCTTTTCTGAGACTGAACACAAAACGTTCAGGTCTCGTGGCAAGCGCATCATCTTCAGACTACTTAACCCCTAATATAATGGTTCGGATTCCCAGCTTCATTTATTTAGCAATATAACACGATATCATCCAATGACGCTAGCGAGTAAATCATTCACTTTCGATATAGTTGAACTCCAACGGTTCGCCATTTCTGACTTCTTTGGAATTCCATGCTAGAATAAAACAACTGCTCAATACACTTTGGTTTTAAATGCTTCCTCACTTGCTATCAATTCCATACGAAAACCAACTTTACTTCTAACCAATCTGAACAAACTTATCGACTAATATTTTCTTCAGAATCAATGTTATTAATAACAGCTCAAAATGAAATCAGGTCAACTGATTAGTTTAATTGATCCCAAAGTAAACAGGACTCAACTGAGAGTTTCATAGATGATGGTTAATAATTGTCATAGTTTGAGAATTATTTTGATTATTTCGGAATACGAACGATTGAGAGGTCCTCCTGATACGTAATGTGATCTTAGAAATCCAGAGAGATCTGATGGCAATACATAAAATCAATTCAACATTTATAACCCACTCGTAAATAGCGTGAAGAGAAGACCGAACTTTCAGAAAAGCTCTGATATTCCCTAACGAAGTCAGTAATGTGATGTAATAGCCCTCTTTGTATAGTAAAAAAGTACCCAATCAGAGAACGGGCAAGTTCGACATGTAATATGAATTAAGAGTTATCGAGGATTTTATTGCTCATTAAAACTATAAACTGTCAACTAAATGAGAAAGGCCGGATTATCTGAAATCTTTCTTGCAGGTTTGGAGTTAGTTTCTATTGGATTACCACTCAATATCTTAATAGTATGTTCTTTTGCTAAGCTTGAAGGTCCTTTGTCCGTTAAATATAGGATCATGGGTTATTTCATTTCAAGAGATTTTTTAACTGGTATCAATCTGAGATTGTCTGGCAATTGTATAAATGTTCTCGTAAACTCGCTTAGATCGATAACAGTAATGGTAATTATCGGTAAAACTAACGGTAAATTATTTTTTAGGTGAATGGATGTACCCGTTGACATATAAATTCAGGAGATAGGTTCAGCGAAGAGTTCTCCTTTCGGCGAATTCATTTTCAAAGCTGTACAATCGGGAACATGTACTGATTTTCCAAAATGATAACAACTGCAATAATAGTGATAATAAAATCCTGTTTAGCATGATAACAATGAGGTAGAATAAACAAATTTATAAAAACTTAATTTTTATTAGGTAAACTGATAATAATTTTAGTATTTCTTTGTTTATCCTACCTCACTGTTACCATATTCAACAGAATTTTATTGTCACTGTTATTGTAATCATTATCACTTTGGAAAATGAGTATACATTTCCAATTGTATGGTTTTGACAAATGAATTCGCCAAAAAGAGAACTCTTCATTGAATCAATCTTTCTTATTTTAAGCAAAGTATTTATTTATAATTTAGGTGTGCCCATCGTCAAGTTTTATAACTGGTTCCGTTGATGGTCGAAATCCAAACAATCATCCTGTACATCGTTTCATTGCGGATAAACTTAATTTCTCCATTAATACCGATGATCCAACATTAACAGAAAGATGGAATTTACAAGAAGCTAAATATTGTATTGAAGAATTAGGTATAGCACCTAATCAATTGAATATGGCCAATTACAATGCAGCTATGGCAGCGTTTGTTACCAGTGCTGAACGGGAATTTTTATTATCACATATAAAAATTCGATCAAGAAATAGAATAATCAAAATTTAATTAGAAACAAAATCAATATTCTACTGAAAATGATTCATTTAAACACAAAGTAGATGTCGTTTTAACCCTAAATATCACGTTTTATATAATATTTTTTTCCTCAACAGAACAATGATATTACTCCACCCACTATTCTGACCTGTGATTATAACTTTTGTTTTATTAAATTAATTTCAAAGTATCCCATTTTAATTTATTCTTTTTGTTAAGAATCCTTTTTTGCTTATTAGAACAAGTTTGAAAAATAACTGTGTTGAAATTAAAACAAATAATTTTTATTTATATTAGAGATTAGTGCTAATTGAATGACCAATTTATATGTGGAAAGATATTAGTAGCGGTTTGTAATTTTCCGTGATTGATGTTAAATACTGTAATTGATCAGCCTCTGTTGATATATATGCATTCTATATGGAGCCCCCAAATGCCCTGGTACGGCCGAGAGTGGGGAGAGTCACCTCTCCCTCTCGAAATACTCTCATATGGCCAGCGAATATATAGCCTTTGCCAGGGAAGTCCTACTCACTGCCTTCTCGTGGCGGGGGTGTTGTTTACGAAAGCGAGAGGACGAAAAGCGAATGTCCGGCGCTTTAACCGGGTTGGTAGACATGGAGGGTCCACCTAGGGGAGTTGGAAAATCCTGATTCCAAACCAATGATGCACGGGCTTCTAGTATCCTGAGGGAACAAATGGCGTACGAATCAACCGTTGATCACCGGCTACCATGGGACTGCATCTCCTCACGATGCTCCACTGCCTTGTGGATCAGACATTCAGGTCAAAGGCTCCGGGTGTGGCCCCCTAAGAAAACCACCTGCTTCAGTTCGGGCACCTGGGCAGTATCACAGCCCTCACACAAATCGAATGAGATTTGTGAGGCGCATATTTATCTGGTGCTTCCTTGTACCAATATTTATGTGTTTAAATAAATAAATAAATAAATTCTATATGGATTGCTCAGGTATTGCCATTTAGTCAAATATTTTGATGAAGTTGGAATTATGGTTACCAATGAAATATGAAACAAACATTCTTTGTCCATTTCGCACTCGTCAAACATCTAAATGCTCATCTCAATGTTGATTTTCACACTGAGACTCTAACCCAGTACACATCACTGAAACTCCAACAGACTGAGCTACTCAGTCTGGGTAAACACTAACTTGATCGACGGGTATAAAGTTATTTTTAGTATTTCTATTTCCTCGTTATAAATAACTTCATGCTTGTTGAACAAATTAACATCTACTTAAACTTAGTAGCTCAGTGGATGATCGGTTGATGTCTAAAGCTATGGATCTCACTATTAACAAAAATGAAATGAAAATACATCTACGTGACGAGCTTCAAACAGGGAAAACACTGATAAACACTTCCAAGTTATAAAATAGATTGACATTAACAACAGATGAACTAAATGGATTCTATAACACTCAACTGAAATTTGACATATAACGATCTAAGCCCGAAGAGCACGACAGACGTTCGCTGTCTTGTTACGAAACTCGAGATATGGAAATAACCGAACAATGGTGTAAGAAAGTGTGTTCCCCACAACATTAACGTGATACAGACATGACAAATAAGTTTCCGTTCGTTATATACATGAATAGTCGATATTATTGTTTGTAAGTGTGAACACATCCAGACTGCTACCACTCAGGAGAAACTCCCTGTCACAAGCCCAGTTGGAGAGGAGGGCTGAGTGTACGGCTAGTAACTCCACCTCGCAAAGCAAACTGCTAAGGAAACGATAGCCAAAACTGGTAGAAATTTGTTTTGTGAGTTGAAGGGTCATTGTGTAGAAAAATTATGACACTTCTTAGTGAAAACCAGGAGTCTCTGGAAGTCACAAGAATAACTCCCCTTCTGATAACCAGGAAAACAGTAAATAATTGGGATATGTAATGTCCGAACAACGTGCGAGACTGAGGAAGTGCTTTAAATAGCCACAAAATCGAGGAGATACAACCTGAACTATGTTGGTATAAGTGAGATCTATTAGGTGTAAACGGTAAGGAAACGTCTGACTTCAGAAATGATCGAGAAACAATCCTTTCATCATGCAAAGTGGTGCTGAACCTCAGGAAGAACCAGTACAAAGGATGGACTACTTCCAACCACTTACCGTGTTATTAACACACTAAATTAATAATGCAATACAGTTTTACACTTCGATGTTTTTAAATATTTCAGCAACATTGTTCCAACTAACATTTTTAGAGTCTCTTGTTGTGTTTGTAAATACGTTTTTTTCGGTCGACGTGCAAAAATATGAAGTAAATGAAAAATTCGATCAATTGATTGTATCAATTTGTTTTACTACTGATATCAGTCATGTGAATGACAAACTTCCTTCAGAAAGTGTTAATATGTCCATGTCTTTATGTATTCCACTTTCGCAACCATTTCTGTAAGGTAAACATATCAGATGATTAAACAATTTTCTGTTTACCAAACCTTACTTAAACGTGAATCTACGTTTGTTAAGCAATAAAAACAAACTAACCAGTGAATAAGAATAGCTCATACTTATGTGTGGTTGAAATATTTTGTCACTTTGTAACGAAATCTATACTACAATCACTGATATTACTGTGAGTACAAGAATTAGTATTATGGATTCACTGAATTGTTCAGTTGAACATACATAAACAAACGAACACATTATAACCCACCACATAACCTGAAAGTAGATGTGTACAGAAACTGTTTGTACAGTAGCTTTCAATGGACATGACTTTACATTCCGTCATACTTCCCTATCGTCGATTCATACTTCTGTCTTGTTCATTCGTCTATTGCTTCAAATATTATCACTTTCATTTCAAAAAATCAGAACACAAATTTGAATCCAGAACACATATTTTTTTCAATGACTATTATCACCTTTGAACAATTCTCGTTCACAATAATCTTCATTAACTTATTTCAAAAATCATATCATAGTCTTTCAACAATCAGTCCCATTTTCGCTTTTTAGTTTTCGATACTCATGGTAAGAGGGTTGGTGTAGATTGAAAGCGGTTGGTTTAGTTTTCAACACAAGTCGATATCAGTCGGATATTCAACGAAAAGCTCCCAGTTTGAAGCACTATAACAATGTAGAATGATAATTTTGTACACCAACAAGCCAATTTATTATCACAACAATTATCCACCCCAATTCGATCGGTTTATCATGAGTAATTACAAGTAACAAGCAGTGAGTAAACGGATTATTCCAATCAATACATACCATACATGTATGTGAAGATTTACATATATTTCTGAATTATTACTACTGTTACTATAACAAACGTTCAGAATGGATTCAATGACCTTTAACTGGACCGTTCCCAAAAAATGTCTCTATTATTGACCGATGTCAAATGAATAATCAAAGAGGATTCAATTGGATTTCTGTCTAATCGTCAAATGTAAAATTTTCAAGTCATCTATGACATATCCACCATCATCTTTAACACATTAATTAACCACAAATTTTCATAGACTGTTTGTAAAGATAAATCATCTAATCGAGTAAATTAATAATATTTACTAGTTAAAGCAAGTTTTGATTTATATTCGCTACACAATAAAACTTCATATATAGTCATTACCTTCATGATCGTCTTGGAAGAAATCTCAATGCTTATCATAATAAGTATAAGTGTTTGTTCAGTTATAACACGAACAATTGAAAATAATAATATTGTTATCTAATATAACATAACCTACTTTGTATTAAATTTATTATTATGTAGGTGTAACAGATGATAAACCTTAGACCTATAGTTTGGGTGCCAAGCGCTTTAACCGGTAAGCATAGTAGCTTGTGATTTACTTGGCTCATGTATGAATATTATGCTTTGGAATTGCTTCAGACCAACAACATGAAATTTAACCAGACAACTAATTGATGGAAAAATTGATTTTATAAAAGATATGCAATCATATAAGAATACTTTTAACACCCAACATTCATGTGATTTCATTCTATCTTCTTTTCAGTTTTGCATATAAATTGACATAACTATGAAATTATAACTGACTAAAAGTAAGTAAATTACTTCACCCATAATACCCAACCTTGATTTATCAAAACAAGGATCAAAATACTAATGAACGATATGATCATTAAGTTCAAAGATTGACTTCTTAAACTTAGAAATCGCCTCACTATATTTACTATGATTTTCAACATAGAGAAATAAACAATCAGCGTCCAATTATTTTCATTTGTTTCAATGCTAAAGACACTTAGAAATATGGTACGTCTAGCTGAGTAAATTAATTAACTAGAAAACAGTTTTTTGTAGACATAACATTTGATCAAAATGGTCTAACTAAATTCTAACGGAGTATTTTGTGAGTAGTGCAACTTGAGATTGAGTATTTACAATGAAAGAAAGTGAAAACAGTGTTTATTTTTGAAATAATATTATGTCCTGAATTGATGTTGTTGAAGTACGGAATTTTGCTGAAAACTTAGATCAGCGGTTATTAACTGAATCGACTGAAATAGGGGAGCATTTGTAGACTTTTGTGTTTTTCTCATCAGTAATATCTTGTTGTGACTAGTATCAGCTGTCCTGTTGGGCGGCCCATGCTCCTCTATGAGGGATAGCATGCTTAAGTAAATAAGTATCAGTTGTAGACTAACTGATCAGTAATCAATGTCATGTTATTTACTCTTTTGTATTGAACGGATTTTAACAATTAAGTATCAGATAAATATATTCACATTCTGTGGGAATTTGCCTCAATGAAAGTGATAACTCTAATGAGATTTGATTTTTAACAAATAAAACGATATAAAGATTCCGATAGCATTATCTAGATAGTTGGAAATAATAAAAAGCAATGTAGAATACAACTTCTTGAACGGAATTAGCTCTAAAATACTTTAAAGTGTGCTTTAAAGCATTTAGTCCCTTTGATAAATTTCGATAATGTAATAAGAAGACGAAGATTACCAGAACTATGTGATATATTAGCGCAATACATTTCGAACAATCTAATCACACATATACTTGTTAAGAATATTTATATATAAATATAAAAGGTCAACTAGACTGGAAATTGGGGGGTGAGTGTAGACAAGGATAATAATAATAATAATAATGTGAAAACAATTTGAAACTTAATCACTCTGGATAATAAGCTAATATTACCAGGGTAGATTTAGGGAGAGAACAAACTGATTTTGGATACACAAAGGAGGTTTGAATTTTCATTCATTTTCTTTTATATATAAATGTTCTTAACAAGTATATGTGTGATTAGATTGTTCGAAATGTATTGCGCTAATATATCACATAGTCCTGATAATCTTCGTCTTCTTATTACTATACTATCGAAATTTAAAATGAGCATCAAACAGTTGATTAGTAGAATATAACACGGCTTTTACCATTCTATACACTTACTTTTGTTGTGAAATAGCCTATAGGAATGGTAATGCTTACAATTTTTTTTATATTAATCATAACAAAGTAACTCTGGATAATAAAAGACGTTCTCATTGATCTTAGGGAGAAATAGGGGATATTTTTAACAATCAATATTTATGCCATCATAATGTCTTATAGAATCTAATCGATTATGCAATGTATTCTATATTCACTGTTTATTCTGTTTGATCTTTCCACCTTTATTTTGGTTTTATGCGGTTTCTTTTTGTATATTACTCACATTACTTACTAATATTCAGTAACTTATGTCATTTTCAATAATTCGTGCATATGCAGATTTATTTTCGTTATTTTGAGCTATACTTCTAAATATCTACAAGAATCTATTATATTTACACCATTTATTATTGCCATTTTCTTTCCTTAAACATTCTTAACAGTTTGTCTTCATTGCATATGTGGTCATCGAACACTTGTTTTTTCGAAATAATTCCTATATTTTGTGTATAATGATCACTTTAACTTGTTGGTTCTCACTTTCGAATGTATGTAGCTACTGGTTATCGGTTGATTCATCGTATATTTTCGTAAATAGTTCTCATATAACTACAATAGAGAGCAATGTTTCTTTGACCGCACCTTGAATCGTGTAAATGCCTTATATATCCCACGAATTGAGGTTTTCGAAACGCATTGCTTGTGTTATCATCAATAATATTATCGTCCCATAAACAGATTCTTTAATTTGATTCTGGTTGAACCTTAAACCGAAAGTGGAGTTGAGTCTGCCTGGATTGCCTAATAAAAACACCAGTAGACATTTAGACACCGCTTATGATTCTAGCTTAAATTATAATCCTGTTTTCACTATTGGATTACTAATGATCGAATTAGCCAAATTTGACTGAATGTCTATCAAATTTTGGACCTTTATGAGGAGATTGAAAATGGATTTCGTGACTAGTGTTAGTGATTATAATAAACAATTAAGCAGTTAGTGATGATACCAAAAGATTAACAAAGAATGCAGTGAACCACTGTCATTATTTTCTGAAGTTTAAAGCTACACTAAGGCAATGGATATTTTTCTATCCGATTTATTCACCGGCTCACCGCTTCATCCAGGAGATGTGAGAGTGAAAAATCTCGCAAAAAGAATGAGTAATTGCAAAATTACTGTCATAAATGAAGCGTGGTCCTGACCTGCAATTTTCCACTAACTTAAAGTGTATAATTCAGAGTTTAGCATTAGTATTCCAGCTTGAATAGACAGATATTGTGAGCATTTTGAAGAATTATTCAGAGCAATCTCCTATGATATACTAAAATTTCTAGAACAGGCTTCGCAGCCATAAGCTAATTGGAACCACAAGCCTCAATCGATATCAACGCGACATAGTGTCTAAATCACGTCAAAGAGCAAAACAATCAACTGCTGTCGTGTTATCCACTTAGCTACTGAGTCCTCATAGTCACTTCTTTGTGAAATGGGGTGAAGTTTAAATTCACTTGGTATTGTTTATTTGAATCTTCCCATTGATGTTTAGGACTGCAATTGATCAGTCTCTTATTGGCATATGTGCATACTGTGCGTATTGCCTGGATATTGCCTTAATTAACAAGCATTATAAGTAAAGATGGATAGTGGCCAGCAGTGAAATCCAGAACGTGTACTTCGTCCCATTTGAGACTCGTCAACTGGATCTCAGAGTTGATGTCCGCTCTGGGACTCGGACCCAGTACTGTTCGCTTCAAACGCCATCATGTTATCCACCTAACTACTAAGTCTTGAATCAAGGCAATATTCAGGCAATACGTACAGTATGCACATATGCCAATAAGAGACTGATCAATTGCAGTCCTAAACATCAATGGGAAGATTCAAATAAACAATACCAAGTGAATTTAATCAATTACCAAATTTGTACTAATGTCCTGATCCCCACAGGTTTTTCAATGAATCGAAGGGAGGTATTCAACATGCCAAAGATGTTACCTTTTAACTACGTAAACCCCAACCATCGAGAGGCTAAATGCTGAAACTTTATATCTTACAGTATTGCTGGATCTAGCTGCCAACACCATAAATTGCTACACAACAGAGACAGCTTTAAAACAACAGGTCTCTTAACCTTCCACTTCACCAGCTAGCACTCTACTACAATTTAATCCTATCAATCTAAATGGTTCAAATATATGATTAAATAAAATCGCTTTGCCAGACAATGGTTTCTGGTTCCGATCCTCGATGGGATAGTGGATAAGCACTGTTGACGTGTCCTATTCTAGGACGAAATAACCGTCTAATCCACCCTGGCTTCTAATGTCCATCTAACTTATATGACTTCATGATGTAAATTACAAAATATTGATCACTTTAACATTATTTACCGAAATGAATACACTTACAAGACTTTATTGTATTAGTCTGATGTATTATATCAAAGTATTTAACATTTTAAAAAAGCCATATATGTATGTAAATATATAAGGTGCTAATTTTAATAATTCGTTGTATAGAAAAATAAAAAATATCAGAAAAATTACTAATAAAGCTTTCATAGCTGATTAGCAGACAATTTCAAAGAGTTAGTAATAATAGTAATAATAATAATAATCGTATTCATAGTAATAATAATGACAATAATACCTAACATTTTAATAAAACATCTAGTGCTAACATTAAAACAGACTTGACTCTTTTTTATTTTTCATAAAAATAATCTATATTTTATTCATAGTAAGAAGAAAGAAAAAAGAGGTAAGTGAAAAGTCAATCAAAATGTAGACGTTCTTGGTGTTGTTGTTGTTCGTATTGTTGTTGTCATCGTTGTTAATCACAAATAATTTGAATTTCTTTTAATTCAATGTTGTTTCAAATGATCATTACTAACCTGATACATCATATTCATATAGATTGAAAAACTTTTTAACATATTTAAACAAAATTAAACAAGATTCTTAAATCCAATTTTTTCTGATTTCATTGGATCTTGTTCTTTATCTATGGAATGTTCTTTATTATAATGATCAATAAAGTTTTGATATAGTTCAGTGACAATTTCTCCTGTAATAACATCACCTGAATTGATAGTCAACATACGAATGATGAATACACCATCAGCACGTAAATATTTATCAATAAATTCATCTAAATCACTTCTTTTTAATTCATCACCTTTCAATGAATGAACACCTTTTAATCGAAGATAACGTTTAATGAAATCTTTACGTTTTGATGCTAAAATCATACGTACAAGCCATAATAATAAACTAAGAATACATGTGATAAGTAAGAAAACAATCCAAAACCAGAAAAATATATAAATTTTTTCATTTAACATATTTATAGGTAGTGCACATTGGGCAGTGTATGAATTCTTTACACCAACTAATCGTATACCCGGTACACGACAATATGCTACACGTGGAAATAGCATAGTTTCAGGCCAATCACGTCCAGCACGTATATGATTAACAACAGTTAAACCAAATCCATAACCCTCAACATTTTCATTGTCTGAATAGGATAAATCACTTACTGAAATGTACAAAAGAAAAAAGAGTCATGAAAAATATAAATTGTTGAATTCATTTCATTGGATATTGAATTTAGAAATGTGAGTTTCAACTTAGTAAAAGTAACATGTTCATACGTTCGATCCTTCAAAAACAGGGCATATAGATGAACATTTCTGAGAACTCCCATACTAAAACAAAACGTATGTTGACTTTCAATGGTTAGTTGTTTTACCAAAGATGAACTATTGTTCAGTAAACTAAAATTATTAGCCAGTATGTGATTAAATTGACTGTCCTTTAAATAGTTGAGAAAGTTACTACTACTCTGCACAAAACGGATTCAATTCCAATTAGGTAACCAGTTATACAAACAGACTAAAGAAGTAAGTATACAGTCATCACCACAAAGGTGTTTACTCAAACATTTTTGAACAATTTTGCAAATTGATATGTCAAAGTTCGCCAGTGTAATAAATCTGAAAGCTGAACAAATTGATTAATCCTAAAAAATTTGAAGTTACAAAATAACTATTATGTACACGGCTCCTAAACGTTTTTTTTATAAACCCTTATGTACACATACTGCATATAGTTACTTCATAGTCATCTACTTTTCAAATGGAAGTATTTGATGTCAGTGAGTATGATGTACATGTAAGTAACATGTAACACAAACTAAGTGCACTTTTACTCATAACACTGTTGTAGAAATACCTGACTGATGTGCACTAATAAGATTAAAGTCATTACTTATAAAAATTCCTTTGACATCCTTTAAGCATCAGATCCAAAATAAAACACTTGAGTTATGTAAGTGGAAGGCTTTTAGTGATTTTACTATCAAACTACATCCAGGTGATATAACATATCTAGTTTACCATCAATTTAATCAGTAGTAATTTATCGTAGACAGTGTGCACACAAACAAATTAACTTTATGATGTTCAATAGTAAAGCATTTGTTCTTTTCTTACAACTAAAATATGTATTACATTAAATAGGAATAATATATTTGTAAAATCTCAGCGAATGAATTTGTAGTAAATCCAACGTTTCGCCTGGCAATCTGGTCCAAGCTTTTTCAAGGAATCATAATCAAACATCAAAATTATCGAATATAAATAGGTACATGGTTCTCCGAATTCATTATACACTGAATAGGTTAAAAAAAATTCTAAACTAGGTCTGTTTTATATTCGATAATTTTGATGTTTGATTATAATTCCTTGAAAAAGCTTGGACCAGATTACCAGGCGAAACGTTGGATTTACTACAAATTCATTCGCTGAGATTTTACAAAAATATTATTCCTATTTAATGTCTTACATCAACTCGGCTCTCAAATACTGTGAAACTATTCGCTCCAATTTAGACGAGAGTTCATATATAAAATACGTATTTTGCCTAAATATTTGATTAGACTTTGAGACAATATTCAGTAATCACTTATTTACATGATAATGACCATATAACACATAAATACAAATTTTAAAGAAAAATCAGGACGATATGTTAGTCAAGGTAACTAGTGATTGGCTAATGAGCAAAGATAGATATACCTAACTACATTAAATATGAGATACTATCCTAAGATTGATTCTGCCCTTATTTTGCTTTGACTTCACTATTTTACTGCTTTTTAGTGTGTTGGTACAACACTGTTCTGACCTATATCCTCTGCTTTTTGTTCCAATTGAATAATTCAATCATGTGCTCAAGTATCGAATTCTATTGATCTAGAGACCCAAATCCAATGTTATGTTGAATAAATCAATTATTCTCCTTTATAGAGAATGTAGATGACCTACATAATGAAATTTAATGGTAAATAGTTAAAATAATGATTATTATTAATTAATAATGTAATCATTATTAAACTTACATGCTTTAAAATCAGTCACTTTGCCTAATTGTAAACTACGTCGACTTGCACTACCATTTGAATAGAAGCCCAAAAAACGTTGAATTAAAAATATTTGTAATGCAGCATTAATAATTGTAATAATTTTTACGCAGAAATAAGAAAATATCAAATTTGTACCGAGTCTTTTACTAGCTACAAATATCCCACTAAATTGAGCAGCTGTTTTAGTTAGTTTAGCACGTCTACCCTTAGAAAGAGGAAGAGAGAGAGAGACGGAGTTAGAATATAGTAAAACTGAAAAATACAGTTTACAGATGTGTTATGATAATTATTATTATTACTATCAGTATTATTATTATCGTTATTATTATTAGTAGTAGTATTGGAATGAGGGGGTTTCACCTTATTAATTATTAAGGAATATATATATATATATATATATATATATATATATATATATGCAGTGGATTATTTCGATGTTGTCATTTAGTTACAAGTTATAAAAAAGTTGAATTTTGGGTTAACAGTGAAATTCAAGTTCTATTTGACATTTTTCGGCTGGAAATGGCTGCATCATGGCATTGTTGTTCACACTAAGATACAGACCATATGCTATTTCACTTTAAACTCTACCGGGTTATCCGCTGAGAAACTGAGTCAAGATAGCCATCAGCTTGTTCAATTGGTATGAATATATTTGTACAGGTCTGTATTTTTTTTGTCATTAGTATTAAGGACTATATTTGATTCATATTTTTAAGGATAAGTGTTGAATGATTGTTTTTCAAATATGTATAGTCTGTATCATTATTCAGACCTGTATTAGTCTTACAGAAGTAGCAATTATAATGTGTCGAGGAGTAGTGATCTACTCGTTGGCAACTGAATGTGACAGTTCGTAGTCAATGTGTGGTGTGGGTTACTTATATCCACATAAGTAGTATATAACTATGGCCGGGCATTAAATGCATTTCAGTAGAAGATAGATAAGGAAAGAACGGAAATGAAACGCAATTAGCATGAAAATGCATGAACATTGGTAATCGGAGACTACGGACTGATATTTACAGAAGGAATAGTCAAGATTAAACTCCGCCTGTAACTCCTCCGGGAACTACTGCTGGTCCCAAGCCCAGATAAAGGAGGAGGGTTGGGCATGGGGTTAGCGACCCCATCCCCTAGAAAACCAACTCGCTAAACAAACACTAACCAGAAAAATGGTCAAGATTGAGGCAATTGATTGATAGTTTGCAAATTAACTATATACTATATGGTTGTCAAATTTTAGTGAGATATTCTGTAATTTTGTGCTTAAATGCATTCGATTATCCTTACTCGTGTTCTTGTTCACTACAAATGAGTCACCAATACTTTCTGTGCTCGCGGATTCTCCAATTTTTTCATTATTATAGCGGGTTTGTAGAGGGTTAAATTTTAGTTTTTAGATCACAAACTAACCTCAGTTAGACAAAACTGAATAATTATCTCAACCTAGTATGAGGCTCGTCAGAAGCGACTATTCAGTGTCTAATTTTGACAGGTAACTCCTGGAGCTCTTGTAAGAAATTGTGACCAATGGAGCTCAATCCTATTTGATGTGAGACAATTATCCACTAACGTGTGTTATAACGTATGAGTGGCAGTTGTTATATCGATTGCCTGCGTGCTCTCTTTAGTATATGAACGTCCTGATTCCCGCCAATGAGAGGAGAGCGAATTATCGATCGGAACAATGATACATAAAATCGTGCGAGTAATCTTGAATGTGTATCGGCCCTGCTTTCTGCCTGGCCCAGCCAGTTAAGCCCAGAACACAAATAACAGCCTCAGCAATATGAATCATTATTCATAAACATGCTGGGTTTATATACCAACTAAACTGACCACATCGTGCCATAAAATAGAAAATAACATTTGTACAATAATTAACCAAGTGTGGCTGTTAATAGGGGGAAAGTAATCATTAAACTGATGATAACTCAAGAATCGTATGATAATAGGTCAAAGGTCGAAATAGGAAATATACATATATCATTGATCCATAAATAGTCCTCAAAAGTTATCATTCATAATTCACCAGGAGATATAACAATGTGGTTGGTAGATAATTGCGCATTATTGCATATTAGTTGAATTTAGAAATGTCAACCATTGGACTTCGACTCAGTGGTCTGAACTTTCAGCCTTTGTTACGAGATTTGAAGGTCTCGAGTTTTATCAGTGTAGCCCTACTAAACAGTCACATACTTGGTGATATATTTAGTAGTTTTCATTTCAAATAATCAATTTCCGATGGCGAACTAATTTTATCACCAAACAGTCAAACAATAAGCACAATACATTTAGTAATTATTTAGATTATCCTATTTTTGTTATTTCAATCGAAATTTGGTCAGTCTTAGTTGACACATGGGCATCCTGTGCGGATTCCCTTGATGAAACGTTTACGACACAAGTTTATATAGAGTAAATGTAATGTGGCTAATAGTGGAATCCAGAAGGAGCCTCAGATTGGATGGAACGCAATTCTAGGATTCCACTGCTAGTCCCATTCCATCTATTTGACGTTAATAAACATGACATTTTATTTATTTGGTGAAAAATTTAAAGATATCTTAAATAGTTTTAGAAGCTCTTCCTATAGAAAATCCAAAACTCAGTAAGACCTATGTCTAAATTAACTTACTGTCCTACATTCTTTGTGCATTCCAATCATGTCCTCGATGAATTCTGCTACACGAGCTACTGCTTTCTGACGATCTTCTCGAGATAGTATAGCAGCATCTGCCGCTGATTTTACTAATGAAAACATATCACCACCAGAACGACAAGCGCAAGCAGCTTGCCAAGCAATATGTGGAATATAAAATAATATGCACTGTAGGCCAAGTACAAACGGTACCCATTGATAATAAGCTAACAGTACAAAATAAAGTCAGAAACATTCGACAATGAATAACATAAAGTATGATTTGATAAATATATTGTAAGGAATCAATCGACTGAAGAATTATTGTGTATTGATGAGTAACTTGTTTCTGGCTGAGTTCCAGAAGTTCTTATAAGAGGTTATGATTCATAGGGTTTGATTATTTCGTTAGTTATGAAGATGTCGTCGACGACATAATATAATCGTCGCGCTATTGGTTGGCTGAAGTTGAAGTTGTAGATGTAGACTATTAGATTTAGACGCAGTGGTCAAAAGGTAAGATGTTCGTCGTAAGACTTGAGAGTTCTAGGCACGATCTTTGGTGTGGTCAAAGGTAAGGACTATTGAAGAGCTTTAAACTAGAAAGAAAAAGTTTTGTTTTGATGTAGGTTTGTTCTCTGAGTTGGATAGTTTGGTCGTGGAGATTTCATTGTCCTTCTGAACGACATCATCAGCACAAACTTCGGGTAGAAGTGAAGAAACACGTTCCGAAGGACGATGAAAGCTTCACGACCAAACCATCCAGTTCAGAGAACAAACCTACATCAAAATCACCCACCTGAGGTACAAATCTTCTACACCATCTCAAAACAGCTTTATCTATTTTGCATACCTATTTTACAATTAATCCTCCACCTTAGGTCACTCCGTGACGAAAATCACCTAAATGATTCTGATTAAACCGCGAATTGATAATTCTTAGTTAATCCCAAGTTAGTTAGCTAGTTAGTTAGTACTACACAGTAGTATTGCATACATAACACATTTTTAATCTATTTAGTTACATTATTAACATTAACTAATAAATTGACTTCATATACTTTCACATTAACAATATATATATATATATATATCATAATGAACCTGTTTTATGATAAATATTGATCACTGGACATGAAGTGCCCAGAATAAAACGAGATGTAAAATATTTGCGTAAACTAGATTGACATCAATTCACTTTAGTACAAACTAATTCTATTTTTACATGATTATGGAACATACACAGTGAAAATAGGTTGGATTCATTATCCTTACACAAAATTGTGTACTCATTAATCAATGAAAAACACATAGAAATTCTCATAGTTGAGATCATGTATCAATTGATGCTAGACCACCAGGGAAAACCTGGAAGCACTGGAAGACCGTTTCGTCCTATTGTGGGACTGACTTCGAGAGGTAAATCCAGGAGTTCTAGTGAGAAGCAGTGACCAGTGGAGTTCATACCATGTCTGTTGTGAGATAGGAACTCACTGAAGACATTTGGTGAACGGTTACTCAACTTCATGGATTGGTTGGAGTTAGAAATAAACACCATGGGATGCCGGCTCAGTGGTCTGTCGGTTAAATGCTCTGGCGCGACACTGGTATGTCCTGAGCTCGAATCTCGCGGGGCGAGGTCGTGGATGCTCACTGCGCACAATAGAACGATACTGCCGTCCAGTGCTTCCAGGTTTTCGATCGTGGTCTAGCTTCAATTGACTCACGCTTTCAACTATGATAATACTCAATTTCCACAGAAAACCCCTTCTGACAGAAATTCATCATGGTAAAACTTCCAGACTATGAGCTATGAATATGCTTTTAATGTTTAAAAAATGAGTACAGAACCGGCTAGTTTTTCAATCTTTATCTAATTTGAATTAATTTGTAGTGAAAAATTCCCTTCAATTATTTTATTTACATAGTTCTAATCTGTTGGTTACGTGCAAACTGACAAACAATGATTCTAGAGACCTAATTATATTAAAACTTTTTATCCCCATAAATATAGTTACTGTATACATTAATAGTTGATAGCTTTCGCAAAAATACTAATCTATCAATCAGATCATTAAAAAAAACTAGTCAAGTATCTTTCTTTATTATCTAGACTTCAAAAATTCAAATGAATTTTAACATAAAATACATAACTGTGACATTCAAGATGCGAAATCGAGTAACAGAAATTTTTTTGTAATTTACGAGCGGAGACAGAAACTAAGATTATTCCTGACTTTTTTTAAATCCATGTCATGGATACCCAGTACTTTGAATCATTTTTTTCCGTTCATCGAGTAGGTGAATGCTTTGACTTTCAAACAAACGTTTCTTTTATAGATATGTATATTTATCTCACTCACTCACACTGTCTTTGATTAACTTATCTATTTGTCGTTAAAATGCCACCGAACAATATATTTTACACCCTAATCCAGTAGTTTTTGGTGGTCTATTCAATATCAAAATGTATGATATTGTAATGTATTGTGTTCCAAATTTTCAAGAATGAGTAGATTGGTGTTACGCTATGCTGAATATTTTATGTACACCATATTTATATTATTTTAATTCATGAATGTTTTTAACCATTGATTTATATCTATGCAAATTTATTCATAGCTTATATTAATTGAAGGCCATTATACACATAAAACATTATTTATGTAAACAGGTTATCAATTCGAAAATATTACTATTCATATTAATACTAATATTAATGTTTATATTTACAAATGATAACTCATTTGGTATGAACTATGTATACTATAGTGAATTTTCATGTTCCTATCACATTTAAGTTTATATATCCCTTTAGATAACTCTCCATCTGAGTACTCAATCACTCAAAAAATTTAAATAGTTAGTAATTCGAGGTTGCTAAGCAGTAGAAATATGGACTAGTCAATTCTTTCCAAATGGATTCAAAAACTTTTAGTAAAGCTGACATGACGCGTGAATAAATCCATAAGAAGCGCCGTTATTAAACATAAATCAATCTATTAAAGCAAACTCAGAATAAAAATTTATCTACGATTTAAATAACAGAAATTTGCCAAAAACAGTGAACTTCCTTTTTTTCTACCATTGCTGAAACATTCACCATATTAACATCTAGAAAAATGGAAGCTATGTATACTAAAGGAATCTACTCAAACTTATCTTCTACCACAGTCTTAATGAACGCCTGGTTTTCGAAAATCACAATCCCTCCCCCTCTCTCTATTCATCTTTTACATATAACTGAGTTATTCTGTCTTTATACCTCTGTCTTTGACTACATTTTATTTAATCATATCATGTTTTCCATCCCATTTTCTATAGTTACTATTCTCTGTCCAACATGTTTGTTGTTCTCGAGAAATATTCAAGCTCTTCACAACCATATTTTCAGTTTTATCATACATATTACCGATTATCTTCGTGAGTGAACAGCTTTGAAAATGAATTGGACAAAAATATAATACTTTATTGAATCATTCCTTCCCACATTTATTTCTCAGTGGGTGTATTCTGTTTAATTGTGACACCAACAACAGCAATAATTAACAACTCTATCGAATACTAAGGAAATTGAAATAACTCAACAGAATACATTATGGACAATATTTTGAAAAATGATATATTGAAAACGATGCTTAATGCATAGATGACATGGGTATAATAAACTTTTACTGATTGTGAGAGACAAAAATTGAAGGTTCCCCTCTAAATTATATCACTTAATTCAAGCAACTAAAAGTAACTATTCATATAGAATGGTATAGTACATATTCTACTAACAGTGTTGTAATGTAATGTAACTCATTTACCAAATACTCAACTTTAAGCCACAATACTATTTGTGTATGTTTTTGAGGACTAAGAACACCACTATGCTGTGAAAATCGAATTATATTAAGCATGGATTGAAACCTTTGACCTACTGGTTGAATGCCAAATAGTTTAATGATCAAACTAACGCTTTAGTATGTTATAATAATCACAATGATTTCCATTATTTCAATTAATATCGATTTAAAAACACCATGAACACTAGAGACCACTTGTAAATTGGTATGATCACTACCAAAATGTTTATTCTCTATAGTTACTGAATTTAAGCTTTCGATCGGCAAACCATTGTCATTTCATTGTGTGACACAAAAATATCTTACTGATCGAATGAATTTAAGAAATTGGGACAATTCAATACCCGATCTCTAGACAGCGAAAATATCTACCTCAAGACTGTTGTGAATATGTCACGAGTTACGGAGTATAAAAATTGATGACTATCGCTTTCTGTTTTCCATCAACTCATTTATCATTCCAAGTTAGTTTTCAAAATGAATTGATTGAATTAATGAAACTGAAAATGTTGTCCCTCGGATCTGAAGGTCCTGGCGTGATCGTCAACGCTCACTGCTGAACCACATACTAGAACGAAACATGTCCAGTTCTCTCCGATTTACTGTGATATCTTAACTAAGATTAAACCGTAGTAAATATCACCTACAAAATAAAGTTACCACTTAAAATGCTTTACAAAATCAGCTTAAAAGAGACATTGAGATACTGAATCACATTTTGAACTTCTAATGGGTTGTTTTTTGTCAGATATGTGTATAAGGATACCGAAAAATCTGTCACATGAACCATGGAATTGTATTTCACATTAATTCATTACACTAATAATGATCAAAATTCGGTGGAGATAGAACGTGAAAGAGGTACAAGTTGAGAAATCCAAGGAGAATTTCTTCAATCAACATTTTATTACTCTTATGATTCATCTGTGTAATTATTAGTGAAGTCAAAGAATGCAATAGATTGTTTTCAACACAAATAAAGATTTCGGTGGTATCTTCGAAGTATCCACTGAAACTCATTTTAATGCTAATCACTAATTTACTAATCTGTAATGGAATTTTAATGATTTAATAGATGAATTATAAACCAAAATACAGTGAAATAATACGTATCGAATACATAAAAAAAACTTCCCGTTATTAGTGTACAGACGTCGATCATAAAAAACATTGGTTTGGAGCTAAAGGCTGTTCATTTAACATGTTGAATAAATATTACTCAAGTAAACTTTAAAAACGTGAACGGAATTTTTTACTAAGTATAGGTTCATTATTTCAGCTTCATAGAACATACTTCAATTGTAATTATTACCAACCCTCCCCCAAACCTAAGTAACTAGAGAGAAATTCAGGTATTGGTAACTAGTTTTATTCTG